TTAATTACCCCTTTTCTCTTTTGAGGTTTTATCTCATTATCGAAGATATGATACCAGGATGTTCTGGCCTTCGGTATGTTCGCAGTCTCATTTCGATGTATAGAAGTGGGTTGACCTCGTTTTCGCCGCATATTTTGGTGGAACGTGTCAGCCTTCCCTAAAAGCTCTACAGGGCACAAAAATGCTTGTTACGTTAACTCGATTTAAGTGTCAGAAGTGACTGTGCACAGGTTAGTGAGTGAATATGGGTTTGAATCTTCGCAAAGAGAGACAGTTGCTTAATTATGATGTGTTTGCTACGAAACACAAGATAAGAGACGCTGTTAAGATCAATAGATTAGGGAATGCGTTAAATTTACTTATTCATGGCAGATAGTCGATTTAAAATTACTTATAGTGATAGTCTTCATGTCGTAACATCCAAATTACGAGAATGAGACAAAGCCATCATTAAACAGCTCAAGGAGACTAAGATAAAATGAAAGGACACACAATCATGGTTTAATACCTATGAATTACTTATGCCTAATTAAAATATTAAAGAAGAGATTAGTTGTTGAGTTGCCATTTAAAATAAATCTAATTTATTTGAAAGATAAATGATCGTTCTAATTAAATTTACACTTGCTTGACAGGCGTGTTTAGCTGATCAACCAAATTAGGTGTATGAGATAATCCAACCAAGGGAATGCTTTTATTTTGGTTATTAACCCTTAATTATCCGAGGCTGACGAACTCTACTTGATTCCTTACCTTTTTTAAGCGTAGATTTCTAGACCTTATCAATTTGACTAAAGTTTCTAGTGGAATAATGCAATCTAGATCATTCTTCTGTTTCATTAAATTTTAATGACCTGGCGCTAGGGTTAGGCCTGTATTGCGTACATACGTTACCACACATACGTTGGGACATAAGTAACATAGGAAAATAAGCTAAAAAATTCTATATTTACATATGTATCTAAATATATTTTCGTTAAGATTATATGTATTACGTAAGGCAGGGCCGATCAGCCTGATTAACTTAGCATTAACCTGAGAAATTTACAAGAATGAGCCAGAGCTCTGATGACTTTTGTCATATGACGAACAAAATATAAGCCCTCTTTCTCTTGAAACGAGGCAAGATGTGTCGTGGAATTTGTCAATCTGAACTTCGCAGTAATTTTAAACGGTTAGGATATTACATAAATCAGCGATCGTCTGTTGATGAGTTAGACCTGCGAATTCCTTCATCAAGCACTTTAATAAGAAATAAAAGTACGGATTAGAATTAAAGAAATCTGTTTTCAATTTGTATTAATAGTATTATATAGGCCTATTTTGCTAATATAAGCTTGGTTAGTATAATAAAACAAATCGTAATATTTTATGTTTAAATTTATGTTAGTATAAGAAAAGGTGAAAAGTGTAATATTGCTTTAATAAAATATTCTACCAAACATATTTGGAAATGGCAATTAATGCTAAAGCATTTTTCAAAGTTTATTAACAAATAAATAATATTTTCCTTGTTTAAAAATAAAGAAAGTCCTTAAAATAATATGATATTTCAATTTTTCTTATTTCTAAAGTTTCATAGTAATTAATAATTTTAAACAATTCTATACATCAATTCTTTTTTCTAAACTACACTTATACAATCATATTTAATATACAAACATTACGTAGTTTTTCTTAAAAAACATAATTTTAATGATTTACCAAAAGTTTTGTTTTTACAATTAATCTCTATAACAACGTTAGAAACGCAGATACGAATTTATTTAAGGTTATGTACAAGCTTGATTTACCAACTGACATAAAGGAAAAAAGTTCTTTAGAACTTAGAAAATGTCGTGAAAATGAAAGACAAAATAGAATTTTTAATTCGAAAACAAGAACAATAGGAGTATGTTTAGCAACGTTTTAAGTAATAAACATAAAAGCTAGTTTTTAGAAATAATTCTTGATTTATGTGCTATTATAATAAAAGTATACGCCTTTATTCATACATTTCAGGGCAATATTTTTTAATTCTATGTTGTATTTTGTAAGATTATATTTTACTCTAAAAAGCTATAAAAACTCGTCTAATTGACTGTTTATTTCTGGAGGTATTTCCCATATTTTATATAAAACTAGTAGACGCATATTCTTAGCAATTTTTTCTCTCATACATTTTTTCTAATCTTTTAATTTACTTTTCAAAATTGCAAAGTAATTTTGGTTATCTACTCAATAAAATTTTTAAATAATTTTGAATTATATGAATACTCTTTTCACTATATTTTGATTCTTAAAGTAGTGTTCTACCTAAAACCTTAATTTTAAATGAATTTGCTATAATTTATAAAAATCTTTTATCCATTTTGCATGAGACTTTTTTTACTGCGAATATTTGCACAATTTAATATAAATTACCCTTCATCTTAAGTTAACTTTTGATTCACTTATTGCCTGAGTTTAATTTTTTTTTGATTATCAGATCGATGTACAACAACTAAACCATCAAGTTTCCGAAAAGATGGAGAGAGAGGAAACTGAATGCCTAAGAAACATGGCCTATGGTAAGCAGAAAGTAAATTCGTTTTGGGTTAGGGTTTTGAGAAGTGCAGCTATTTATACCATTAAAATTTAAAATGATATAGTTTAAACGAACCATATTCGTTCTTTACAGGCATGTGCACATATAAAATATTCTCCAATATATATGGCTACTAATAGTTGAATATGTTATAAAATAAGGCTCAATACCATTATAGAATACAATATAAGGCACCAAAATTTGTTTTTTTATTCATATACAATAAGCCTTTTCTTAATTAGAGGTTACTTGCCTTTACAAAACGTAAACAATAAAATCAATCTGAACTTACTTCACCATAGTAAATTTGTAATGTGCTCAAAACATAAATTTTATTTCTCACTATATATATTTATTTATTTACATATTAATGTGTATAATCTATAGACCTTGATGCAATACGGAATGATCGGCTAGCATCATTGCTGCAAAATCGTCAGGAAAATGATATGCGATTGATAAATAAGGCTATTAATGAATTTCGCAGCCTTCACCAACAACCACACTCTAGACGCGAATTCGATTTGTATGATCCAGATGCCCTAAAGCGTGACAAACCAGGCAGAATTGGTGATCAAGATACAAGATGCGGCATTGCTTCTATACAAAAATTCAGTGGAGAGGATCTGAATGGTAGAGCTAGGGATAAAATACAAAAGGACCAAATGCGAGATTGGTTAAATCGCCAGATCATAGAAAGAGTTCGCGCTGAAACTGCACAGAGACAGGCGGAAAGGTAAGAATATTGCGTTTCATTATATTTCTAATATGATATAGTGTCACATTAAGGCTAGGATAAAAAAATAAGCATATTATAATCCCTCTACTCTCTCCCTGATTCACATATTTCATTCGAATCTTGCCACCCCATCTGTGCTCCTCGAGACATCATTCGCTGTTCCCTGCATCTGTGCAACTTATTCGAGGCTGAAGCCTCAAAGTAAGTCTCATGGCCAGGCCTTTGCCACATGAACCACGTTTCTTATAAAACCTAGTGTCAGCCAACAAGCTCCAGTCTCTGCCGCGTCTATCCCGTTTCTATCCCTAATACCATTTGCTATGCCCTAGTCTCTTGTGTGCCAACCCAAAAACGTTGTGGTTCAACATTGACCCTGGTAAAAGAAAGCAGTACTACAACATTTGTGGGTTGGCACACAAAAGACTAAGGCATGGGAAGTCATATACTTGGTATTAGAGATAGAAACAGGATAGACGTGCAGGCAACATGAGCTAGTGGGCTGACAGTA